CAGAAGCCTCAGCTGCTGGGACAGCAGAAGCATCTTCAGCAGCACATTCCACTGGTGTAAATTCATTCTCTGAGGTCTGAGAGTCTTCATAAAGAGTCTGCACACTGGCTGCCACATCCCTCACAGAATAAAGAGAATCACTGTTACCCAGCACATGGGCAGCAAGCTCTGCAGCCTCAGCAGGGACGTACACCAGGTCAGGTCCCTCAGGGGATGAAGCTCCATCAGATCCAGGGAGGGATTTGCTTTCTGCAATGGATCTGGCAATTGATGGGTATTGAGTTATTTTGGACCTATATTCAATATCGGGTTCTTCAAGGAGCCGGTCTTCCTCTGTGTCCGTACACTTGTCCATTAGCTTGGGCTCTCCAGAAAACAAAGTATCTGTGTACTCTGATGTCTCCTCTTCTGCAAGGTAAAAAGCACATAATGGCAATACATGAGCACCTCTTTCCATTTAAATAAAATTAAGAGTGATTTCAACATCAACTCAATTAGATGCTCTACAGCACATTTATGAGGCTTCCCGGGTTGCAGAGATGGAATAATTCAAGGAGGGGGGTTGCTGCTTGTCTATCAATAAGGGCAAAGAAAATTCAGAGCGCAGTGGTACCACTTCAAAATCTAGGAAGCTTTAACAGCATTCATGGTCCTGCGGTGATGACAGAGCTAAATCCTCTCTGAAAAAACATTATTCTGGCTACCATCCCAAGCCAACACAGACCCATTTATAATCCAAGGTCAGTCTCTGGGAATGCCACAGAAAAGAAAGGCTCCCTTGCAGCTACACAAACTAGCTAGCTACCTACTGGTGCACAAATGGTCCCAAAACCTGTGCTGGCACTGTGGGTGGGAGACTCCAAAGGAAACCTTGCTCGAGCTTGCTAAGGAATTCCTTTCTGATCATCCCCTTTCATAACACAGTTACGTGACCACATCGTAGGGGATGGACAACACAGAGAGGGACTAAGTTAGTCTATAAGGAAAAAGGTGCAGGAGGGACCTGTTTTGGAGCTTGGTGAACATGCAGGGGTCAGTTCACAATCACATAAGCAAACCACTGACAGGCATTGAGACAGAAAATTTCTCCATTATGCAGCCACTCTCCATCATATTTGAAAAGTCACTGCAGTCAGGCAAAGTCCCCAGTGACTGGAAAAAGGGAATATTGCACCCATTTTTAAAAAAGGTAGTAAGGAGGACTCTGGGAACTACCGACCTGTCAGCCTCACCTCCATGCCCAGTAAGAACATGGTACAGATCCTCCTGGAAGATACATCGAAACATTCAGGAGATAGGGAGGTGATTAAAGACAGAGGTAATAAGGAGGACTCTGGGAACTACCGACCTGTCAGCCTCACCTCCATGCCCAGTAAGAACATGGTACAGATCCTCCTGGAAGATACATCGAAACATTCAGGAGATAGGGAGGTGATTAAAGACAGCCAACATGGCTTCACCAAGGGCAAATCATGCCTGACTAATCTAGTGGCCTTCTGTGATGGACTGACAGCATCAGTAGACTCAGGAAGAGCTAAGGATGCCACCTACCTGGACTTCTCTAAGGCCTTGGGATACAATCCCACACAATATTCTGGCCACTAAATTGGAGAGAGATGGGTTGGATGGATAGATGGATGGATAAAGAATTAGCTGGACGGACATGTCCAAAGAGTTACAGTCAACAGCTCAATGTCCAAGTGGAAACCAGTAATGAGTGGTATCCCTCAAGGGTCCGTACTGGGGCCAATACTATTTAATATCTTCATCAATGACAGTGAGTTGAATTGAGTGCACCCTCAGCAAGCTTGCGGATGACACCAAGCTGGTGGTGCAGTTGATACGCTAGAGGGACAGAATGCCATCCAGTGGGACCTTGACAGGCTAGAGGAGCAGGCCCATGCGAACCTTATGAAGTTAACAAGGCTAAGGGCAAGGTTCTGCACCTGGGTCAGGGCAATCCCCAATATCGATACAGACTGGAGGAGGAACAAATTGAGAGCAGCCCTGTGGAGAAGGACTGGTGGTACTGGTGGATGAAAAGCTGGGCATGAGTTGACAATGTGCACTCGCAGCCCAGAAGGCCAACCGTGTCCTGGGCTGCATCAAAAGCCGCGTGGCCAGCAGGTGGAGGGAGGTGATTCTGCCTCTCTCCTCTGCTCTGGTGAGACCCCACCTGGAGTCCTGCGTCCAGCTCTGGAGTCCTCAGCTCAGGAAAGACATGGAGCGGGTCCAGAGGAGGGCCACGAAAATGATCAGCGGGATGGAACACCTCTCCTATGAGAGCAGGCTGTGAGAGTTGGGGCTGTTTAGCCTGCAGAAGAGAAGGCTTTGGGGACATTTATTGTGGCCTTTCAACACTTAAAGGGGGCTTATAAGAAAGATGGAGAGAGACTTTTTACCAAGGCCTGCATTGACAGGACAAGGGGCAACAGTTTTAAATGGAAAGAGGGTAGATTGATACCAGCTGTCAAGAATTTTTTTTACAATGAGGGTGGTGAGACACTGGAACAGGTTGCCCAGAGAAGTTGTGGATGCCCCATCCCTGGAAGTGTTCAAGGCCAGGTTGGATGGGGCTTTGAACAACCAGGTCTAGTGGAAGATGTCCCTGCCCACGGCAGGGAGGTTGGACTAGATGATCTTTAAGGCACCTTCCAACCCAAACCATTCTATGATTCTACGATTATGCCAGAATTGCTGTGTGACATCATTAATGTAACATTTGCAAATGCATTAAAATTTAGCTTTCGGTGATACTTAAGTCACACTGCAATATCCACCAGCCATTTTTACAAGAAGAAAACTGCTTCAAGTGCTGAAATCAGTGGTGGTTAGCTTTTTTAGAGGAGATCCTTAGCTAGGAATAAGATAGCAGCACTTTCTGTTCATAGCTGGGGCTTCTCTTCATTGCTGTAATTTCCTTAGTGTATAGCGCTCCATCTACAGACCAAGGCTTTCTCAAGTACTGGCTAGTTTCAGCGTTACTTGGAACCTAACTTAGGTGGCCTTTGTGAATAAAGGGGATATTTGAAGCTGCTGACACTTACGATAAATAGACAATGGAGACTCAAACCAGTGGGGCAGATACAAACGGGCTGTGGGCTAGACAAAGCACCCACATCAATGCTCCCACACAACCTTCATCTGGCACCACGGATTCCAGCCCTTACAGCCAAAACCAGGGAGCAGATGAAAGCTCCCAGCACTTCCCAAAGGAATCAGCATCCCACAGAATTAAATCATCTTTTTATAAACAAAGAGATAGAATATTTCTTTGCAAAAAATAGTGTAAAGTCGCTATCTGCTTAGGGGGTGATAAATCACACTGTAGTATCTTAAAATTACAAGGACCAAAAGCATCCAGGCTCTCGCCTATACTCAAGGAGAAAGTACAGCATCCCAGGAGACTCATTCTTCCCACATTAAACAGAAGCAAGCGTTTTCTGAAGGTGCCTGCCTCTTCAATAGCACAGAGCTTATGTGACTAGAGACGGACGGGATGCCACCCATGATAAGTGAAAACCACTTGCATCCATTCGGGTTGGAACATTGTCTCAAAATATCTTAAAAGAACAACAACTATCTTACCGCTAACGAACTTAAACTGTTCAACCAGTTCTGTTATATCCAGATTTGGATTCCCTGAAAACAGAAGCAGAAATTAAGCTGGAGTAGGATAGTACTCTCAAATAGCTCAGCTCTTCAGATAAAACACTGGTAGGAACAAACCTTTTCGAAAGGCGACGAGCTCTTGAAAATAGAGAGCGACAAACTCAATGATGTCATCCGGGTTGTTTTCTATGACAGCCCGACTCACCCCCTCAAGCAGGGTCTTGAGGCCGTGTGGAACAACCAGACTGGTCTTTGAAGACTGCATCTTCGCCTACTCAAGTCGGCTTACGGTTTCTTATCTGTACAAACAGAACCCCTCAGCTGAGCGTCTACCCCGCCCCAGTGTGAAGCATCTAACACCGACGGCATGATCGCAGCTGCTCAGCCCTTGCAATGCCATCAATAACCCTCCTCCTCCACCCCTTCCAAACACTCCTCTAACTTAAAGGGGGCATTTACCATTTGCAGTGACCAAATCCTTTACCCTGCCTCTGCACCTTGAGGCAGCAGAAGGCACGGTCAGGGGGGCCAGCCAACTAGGGAACAACGATGGGAATTCAAACCCATGCCGTGAACACCCTTTTTTAAAGATAAAACCTACCAAAGCACACCCCGATGAGCCACAAAAGCTTTTCGCGTTCAAGCAAAGGGTTTACAGGACACTTCTTCCACCCCTCTCCGCCTCCATCCCCTCCAGCTGCTCTCTCCTGGTCCCTGCCTCCTGCCGGCACCCCCTGACAAGGCCCCCATGCCCAGCCGGGAGCGTGTGATGTCACAGTGCCCGTGCATCATCAGCGCGGCAACGCTGAGGTTCGCAGCTGTCAGCGGCTGTGCTCCAGCTCTGCAGCGTTACTGTTTGTTGGTTGAAAAGGATTCAAAGAAAGGAGCGGAAGGCGAAATACACGATTAAAATTTACAGTCAGGCAGCCAGAGCACTCCATGGCCGGGTGACGCTGCAGCTCATCAGCGAGGGCTTTCCTCCTGCAATAAACACCTTGATTTTCATTGTCAGACAAGAATCGGTGCATTTTATGGACACAACCGTTTGAGCACAACTCTATTTATAGCCCTTTTAATAATATATTTTAAGACCGAAGTACGGTGTCGTGGCTGCTGCCGCTCAGGACAAGCTGCAAGGGTGAGGCCGAGCACCTATGGGTGCTGCCTGCCACATGGCGCGGGGGAAGCAAGCGCCCACAGCGCTCACACCATGTGAGCCGCTGCCTTTTCTCCCTTCCCACGCTACTGTGAAACCCGTTCCTGCTTTCTCCTGCTGACTTGCCTTCAAGGGTGCTCAGTCTCAGGTTATGATGACTTCACACGATCCAACGCTGCAACCTGCGGAAAGCAGAAAGGCTGCAGCCGCGTCCCTCCCACTCTCTGCCAGCCGTGGGAAGCGGGTGGGTGCACAGACCCATCCCCCGGTTCACAGCCTGGCCTTTTACGATAGGTGAGATACAACACTCAAGGGATTTAAACCGACGTAACAGACTGCAAAATATAGCACCTGAGAAGCGATGTTCTGTGGTGACCTCTGGCAGGTGCTCAGAGCAAACGGCTGGGGACTGCAACCTCTTCAGCCGCGGCAGTTACACCCAAAGAGGAACCAGATTATTCCTTAATACGGCTCCGTTCATACGGCAGAACCTTATGATTGCAAGGGCAAAACTTGAAACAAACCTCCACAGCCCCAGGGACAGCATTTGCTTTCCAGTACACATTTTCAGTGGATACACACAAGATCATTTTCTGTTCCAATAAAACAAGCACAAAAAAAGTAACAGTACAGTGGTAACCTTGAAAATATGGCACTAACTGGGTTTCTGAGGATCATGAAGGCAGGAAGATCACGGGGGAAGCCATGATCAGGAGACTGCTGTGGGATAAAAACTTTTATCCACCAACAATGCTACAGACCAGTCTTCATCAAAGTTGGAAAACATCATCTACCTACCCGCTCTTGCATTCCTGGATGTTTGCATCTACAAAAACCTGAGGGGAATCCCAGCAGCACTAAAGATTTAAGACTCAAGGGTCATTGCTGCTAAAGCTTTTAGACTATCTACAATAGCTTCCTTTAATAAGATAAGTAACATTATATTCATAATAGTTCATTCAAAATTAACAGAATATTACATCACTTTCAAGTTAGTTCACTGGAAAGTACATTAATGGTAAACTCACCACGAAATGCTTCTTACATAAAAGAATCCTTAGCAAGTAATTTCTCATTAAGAAAACTTCTCACAATAGCTCATCAGTCCTGGAGAGCGACAATACAGACCACGCTATTAAAAAAGTTAAATATGAATATGCTATGACTTATGAAATTAGGAACAACAGCTTTCCTATAGAAAGAATAAGATATACTTCAAGAATATATATGAGGACTAGAAAATGTATCATTTCTGAAGTCAGGATAGTAATCTGAAATTTAGATTTCCGTATGGAGAACATATGGAAGCAACAGGACTTCATAAAGGCATTAAACATAGCTGTGTGCAAAGATAAAAGCACATCTGCCAGAAACTTAAGAGCATATAGGGAAAAAAAGTGTCTGGAAACTAATTCACTGTGCTTGAACTTGAATGCTGTTTTTGGAAACCATCTAGAGTAAATCCATCATACAAAGTGTACCAGCTACTCTACTAAACCACGTTGCCCTTTGGCCCCAAACTGAAGAGCCTATCAGCATAAGAGCTGTTTGCCCAACTGAAGGTAATTACCTCGTCCTACCATCCTTTGCCCCATCTGCAGAAGTAACAGCTTCCAGACAATGTTAAAGTCTTAGAAGATAGAGATTGGACAGAAGTTCAGCAAATCAAGGTCACAGATAAGCCTTATTTTTCTGCCAAAAGGATCAGGTCATTCACTAACTCTTCATTAGATAGTTCATCACACTGGTTGGGGGCCTGTGGGGTGTGTTTAGTTTTGTTTTTTTAACTTGCAATCTCTTTCAAAGCTTCAGCTAAATAGGCAGAAGAGGACTTGCATTTTTTGCAAGCACCATCTTCGTGTTTCTACCTCCAGAGACTTCAGTAGAATTCTAATACAAAAATCTCCATGAAAACCTTCTTGTTTTTTCTACCAAAGGTACAAAATACTGTTTTTATTTAAGGTGTCCTAAATGCGTATCCCTCTGACTCTGTCTGTCTTCCCCTTCGTTGGGGCCTTTGCTACAAGTGAGGAGAAGTATATGTCCCAGGAGTACAATTATCTTTTTTCAATACAGTAAACATACTACTTTTAGTGAAAGACTGGGAGGCGTTTGTTACATATATGGTTTTGCTCAGCAAAGCCTGACAATCTGTCTCTCCCTCCCTTCTCCTCCCCTCTCATATATGCTTTTTTTCCTCTTAGCCTCTTCACCTGGGAGCCTTTCTGGGCATCTCCTATAGGTAAACACAGCTTGCCAAAAAAAGACTGAAAAATACTGACGACCAAGCCAGTCCTGCTGAGCTCAACAGATTACTTGATCAAATTGAATATTGGAACAGCATCTTGGAAGAAGTCACATCAAAAGATGAAGTTTTTTTGAAGAAAAGTAGGATTAAGAGTAAGACAACTGAACACGAACTCCCCATGGCTAAAACACGCTGGTTAAAACACAGCAGCTAAATAGGTCATGAAAACCTTGAGTAATTAAGAAAAGAGGTTCTGAGCAGGACGGCAATACCTAACTGTAACAGGCACTTACCTTGGTAACCTATGCTGGGTCCAGTTTTGGAGTCTGAACTTACATTAAAAAAAAAACGGTGAAAAATAGAAATAGTTCAGTATTTAACTCTAGAAAGCCTTCCTCAAGTTGACTTTCTTACGGTCTCGTTTATATTTCGCTCATGCAAAAGACAGTAAGAAGTGACCTGAACATTCTTTATAATGCCTACACTGAGATACACAAAGAATACAGCATCTGATACAGCAGAAGAAAATACGACGAGATGCAGTATCTGGAAACCAAAGCTAGAGATCTCTAGGTTTAGAAGAGTAGAGGGACTGGATCCTTTCAGATGCTGTCCTTTCACAGCAGTTCACCACACTGACCTTCTGCACCTCATTTGCTGGTATGTGGTCCCTTCTGCAAGCACTCTGGAGACGTATGCAATGCCAGCAACAAAAAAACCTACAAAGATGGAAGGGATACTAAACAGTACGATATTTAAGTGTAATTCAATCAAGGGTAACAACCTTGAGTATACACATGTTGGTGGGCTGGGGAAATCACTTTTTGCCATCTGCTAACAATGGCACAATTTTGTAACTGATCAATTGAGCAAGTTTCAAAGTTCAGGAGAATACAGATTTGCAACATTGTGACAAAGTTAAGCCTTTTGTAAAATAACTCAAATCTTTTTTCCAGTGCATCTTGTATACCAGCTAATTTCATACAAGAATTCGCTTTGGCATAAATTAAAGAGTATTGTATATAGACATGGATTAACTCAGTGTAAAAACAGCAGGTTCCCATGTTTTCTGAATCTCTGTATAGAATACCGTGTTTTAATTGTTCTTTGGTGAAAATGAACCAGAACTGGAACTTACCTGTATATTTCCATCTTTTGTAAGTCAACTTTTCCAGATAAAAATAGTTTTTGAAGCAGTATTTTCTGGCTCACCACAAAACATTAGAATGCAAGACAATATTGTATAAGCATCTACTCAAACTCTAATTAGCAGAGAAACAATTCCCTGTCCTGCTTTTTTTCCTAAATACCTAATTTATATAAAATAATTTGTCGTACAGTTTCTTCAGGATGAAGTATCAGAAGCAATATACCTGTACTTCTTACTCCTATAGTCCGATGGAGTCTACCATCTGTGTTCTAGGCTGCCTGCAGAGCCTCTGCTGAGCCAAGGACAGGCGTGCTGGTCAGATGCCACTGGCTGCCCAATTGCCTTAAAAGACAGCTAGGTATAAATTTACTTCTTAACATTAGCTTTAAGACTACTTGTTTGAGATTGCATAATTTCTCATGAAAGTGATTGCTACCGCTGTTAGTATTTTGTAATGATGACTGGATAGGCAATTTGAGTGTCATTTATAGGCTACCCTGCTTTCATTCCACTGATAGCTTCAATTAGCACCCTTGCAACACCACGCATAGCCCAACACCAACGTAGTTGCTCAAACTTCAAACAGTTACAGAGCAATTTTTAGAGTACAATCAATTGTTGGAAAGACAATCAGATTGTTGTAAATTGAAAAGCAATTCAATACATCATTTGGGGAATTTTATTTAAGAATAAAGCATAACTAGAATATGA